ATTGTTTGTCTTTTTTGGTAGTTCAGGAGGTCAGGCTTCGAGGACCACAAATTGAGAAACTCTATTAGTGTTAAACTGAGTTAGTGTTCGCAGATTGTTCCAAAATTACTGTTGTTGTTATTTGACTAATCTAGCTTACCTGATATCAGAGCAAATCCACGAAATTCGTCGTGGTAAGGAGACAAGTTTGCGCCGGTCGTTGGCAAAAGCCTTGAGCACCATCCAGGAGACAATATTACTTTGATCAGTTCCGCCCCCTATTTTGAAGGAGAGCACCCCGGGGACGGGTCCGAGGTTCTCCCACCCTTTTCTTATACCACTAACCTCTCGAGAGGAGTTTCGGCCCGCCATATATTTAAAGTGCCCCCGTGTAACACATAAACAATACATTTTCAAATACTCATGCCTTCTCCGGGATTCAAACCCTGGCCCTTCGGTATGGAAGTCAGAGTCACTAACCGCTATCTGGTTCGTCAGTTCCAAAAGTGATCTTCATAAAACCTAACCGAAACAAAATATCAAAATTCTGTTTTCTGTTTGTGTAACAAGGACTTAACAATTCATTTTTATTTATTAATTTATTTTGGTACTTATTTAATTTTTGCTTATTTTCAGGTATGATCCACGTAAGATCGTCATAAATACTCAACAGTAATGGCTTAATATGAAGATGGGTCATCAATGCGTAGTTAAATACATAAAAGATTTTCGTTCAAAGTGCGGAAGAAATCCACCATCCATGAAACAAAGCAAGAATGGACAATAAATTTATAGAAACTAATAAGGTGCTTCATATAATGGACACAAGGCTGGCCAAGCACAATTGAATAAGAATTCTAATGGAAGGAATGAATTAATTTCCTGTCAAGCGCAAAGAGGTCCATAATTGTTTGATTGCTGCAATCATTGTAGATTTTTCCGTAGGAACCTTTGTAGTGCTGTACTTCTGACCCAAACTGAACTTGAAGTGAAGGAATTTCACTCTTGATTAGCTGCCCAGACGGCGTTATGCTGGGACCGCGCTTTTGCTGATTTTTTCCAGTGCAGCAGCTATTATAAGTTAATAATCGGATGAGAATCGCTTCTGAAAGCATGCAAAAATATCTTAAATACGATTTAAACTTCATGAGTTACATTTCATATAAAAGAAAAACAGAATTTTATCATCTTATTTGCTTTAGATTTTACGCAAGGTAAACACAGTAAAGGTAAATTTGATACACCCTATTATATGTTACATGCTGGAAAATTTTGTAATATATAAATCAGTTTGACAGTAGGAAATATTTGCATCCCGAAAATATTAATATCGATGTACGTATAAATGGCTTGCCCAGGTAACCAAGACAAACTGATTTAGAAATTAATATTATCAAAGTCTTAAGTGATTTAACGCTCATTGCGTGCTGATTTAAATAGAAGACAGCTTGTGCTGGCTAGATATTGTAAGGTATTTCTCCCACTTCTTGGCATGCCTTCGTGGTGTGGTGGTCTGTACGCTGGACACGTATTGGAGAGGTTCGTGGTTCGATTTCGGGCGAAGGCGTTGCATATTTTTCAATCTCTCTTGCTTAAAAAAATACTTTATGTCTCTACAGTGGCGCCCGAACTAAAAGGGTTGTGGATGATGATTCTCCTCACCCAGGATTTGGCGACTGGGTCCTCTAAAAAACCCACAGTCGCCCTTTAAAAGGGGGAATATGTAAGGTATTTCTCCCACCTTCTTAGCATGCTTTCGTGGTGTGGTGGTCTGCACGCTGGGCGCGTATTCCAGAGGTCCGTGGTTCGATTCCCGGAAATGGGGTTTCATTTTTTTCAATCTCTCTTGCTTCAAAAAAAATACTTAATATCTCTGTAAGATTACCACAAAAGTTCATTACCATTAGGAGAATAAGGCAAATAATTTTTTATAGTAGTATTGGCCTCTCATACATTTTAAAAAAACATTAGAGCAATGAAATACTAATTTATGATATATAAGAAGTGACAGAAAGTCTCCTCGCATATTAATATCTTGGCAAGGAGACGATGGATACCACTTCGAACTCTATCAAATTAACCTAACTACTGGATTAGCATCACAAAAAAAAAAAAAAAAAAAGGATGTCTGAAATGGATTTTTATGCGTTCAGGATTATGGTGCGGTCTTCAAATTTCAATATAATATTGTGATGCAAAACCCTTTTCCAACAATTTATAGTTGCTATGCATGCAAAAATAGAGTCGGAAAGATACCTGCGACTTAATCAAAAAGCACTGAGAGTCGATCAGTATATTCATGTTAGAGATGCTGTGATGACTCAAGGAAACATCACTGACATCGGTCAACTTATCATGTTGCCATCCACCTTCACTGGAAGTCCAAGATATATGCATAAAAGAACTCAAGATGCAAGACTTATGTGCGTATTTATGGTCGACTTGATCTCTTTATTACCTTCAACCATGTAATCCATCTTGGGATGAAATCAAGAATTGAACTCTTTCCAGGTCAAAAGCCACAAGACAGCCATGATTTACTTGCAAGGGGTTTTTCACCAAACGCTAAAGACCATAATGAATCTCAATTGTCAAGGCAAATATTTTTGGCAGCGTTCAAGTGTCACATGTACACAATTGAATGGGGGAAACGAGGGCTCTCCTCATGCCCACATTCTCGTATGGCTCAAAGAAAAAATGCATATTCAGAGAGTCGATTGAATTCATTAGTGCAGAAATACCTGAATCCAGATGAAGATCCACATCTGTTTAAACGTATAACTTACATAGATACGTTTCATGGCCCGTGTGGACTCATCAACACTCATTTCTCCATGCATGACGGAATGGAAAATTGTACTAAAAAATACCCACGTGTAATTTTCTGAGAGAAACACAGACAGGACAAGATGGATATCCACTTTATTCGTCGGAGACATCCAGAAGACAGAGGGTTTACATGCAAACATCAATGTTCGAAGGTGTGAAGTGTTGGTGGACAATAGATGGATTGTTCCCTATTGTCCTCTTCTCTCAAAAATTTTCAATGCTCATATAAATATATACGTTGAATACTGTAATTCAGTGAAGTCCATAAGTATGTCTGTAAATATGTAAACAAAGAATCTGACATGGCTGTTTTTGATGCAAGGACTTCTGGAAATGAAATACATGAAGTTCACCAATATGAAATGGGAAGATATATCAGTAGCAATGAGGCTGTGTGGAGAATTCTGAATTTTCCGATTCACGAGCGTTATCCGACTGTTATTTATTTAAGCGTCCACCTTGAGAATGGACAACGAGTATATTTCACTTCTGCTAATATAATTGAACGGGCTCAGGCTCCTCAAGAAACAACTTTGACCTCTTTCTTCCGCCTTTGTATTGAAGATGAGTTTGCACGTACATTAATATATCATCAAGTGCCAAAGTACTATACATGGAACAATGCAAACAAGAAATGGAACAGGCGTAAAATTGGAAACAATGTACCTGATCATCCTGGAATCAAGTTGAGTGACGCTCTCGGGTCGAGTGTATACCGTACATACAAACAACTCGGAATGTTTTCACCTGAGATTGTTGTTGCATGAAGTTCAAAGCCCCAAGTCATTTCAAGAATTGCGAACAGTGGAAGAAAGAGTATGCAAAACTTATAAAGAAGCTTGCTAAGTTAGAGGACTTTTGGAAAATGATGAACACTGGAATGCAACATTGGAAGAAGCTGCTGTGACTTGCTCCTCAGGAATGCTACGAAATCTGTTTGTTGTTATGTTACAGACATGTGCCATGTCAAATCCTCATCAGTTGTGGTCATATTAAAAGAATAGCCTGTCTGAAGACTTACTGCATCAATCAAGACTTCAGCAGAATAATATGAATCTCGCTTATCATGCAGAAATTTACAACAGAGCTCTTATCATGATGAGGACAAAATTCGCTTCTTAGGTGGACAAAACTTGCAGTCATTCGGGGTACCTGAACCAAAGTGAAATGTTGAATCGGCAATGCACAGTGAAATTTGTCATGAAATGAGTTACAATTTGCAAGAACTTATAAAGTGCAGAAACATGAAAAGAAACTGGTTCCAGATCAAAAGAAAGCATTTGAAGCAATTATGACCGCAGTTTCTAATCAAGATGGTGGTATTTTTTTTTTTATTGATGCACTAGGCGGTACTGGGAAAACATTCCTCATTAATTTTATACTGGAAAAAGTACGAGTTAAGAAACACATTGCGTTGGCTGTTGCATCATCCAAAATTGATGCTACGTTGCTAATGGGACGAAGAACAGCTCATTCAGCATTTAAATTGCCATTAAATCTGGAAAATACCGAAACACCAACATTTAATATTTCTAGAAGCTCTGCCAAAGCAAAAGTTCTACAAGAGTGCTAGTTAATTGTGTGGGATGAATGTACAGTGTCTTATAAAGCTGCTTTCGAAGCCCTTGATGTTACTTTGCAAGACCTGAGACATAATACTTGCCGGAGATCTTTCGACAGATACTACCCGTTGTTCCACGGGGGACACGAGCTGATCAAATGCATGCATGCTTATAATCATCATATATTTGGAATGAAACTCACAGACTTCATCTTAGAACTAATATGAGAGTTTAGATTAATGGAGATACTACTGCTCAAGAATTTGCTGAAACTAGGAAATGGATTCTTCACCCCAGATAGAAAAGATGGATGCATATCGCTGGAATGTATTGGAAATATCGTGAAAAGCCACGAAGACCTTTTACTTTCAATATTTCCTAACTTAAGACAGCACTTCACCGATCACAGCTGGCTATGTGAAAGATCCATTCTTGCACCAAAAAATGATACAGTGAGAGCCATTAATAAACAACTTTTAGGACAGTTGCCAGGCAGTGTTAAAATTTACAAGTCAGTTGATACCATGTATTCTGTAGATGAGACTGTAAATTATCCAACTGAATTTTTGAATTCTTTGGAACTGCCTGGATACCTTCGCATATTCTGGAGTTGAAAGTTGGTGCACCCATATGCTGTTGAGAAATTTGGATTCCCCTTCACTTTGCAGTGGTACAAGATTATCTGTCAAGAAGCTCATGAAAATTGTTATTGAAGCAACTATTTTAACTGGTCCTGCAAAAGGAAAAGACGTGTTCATCCCAAGAATTCCCATTATACCATCTGATGTACCATTTCATTTTAAACGGCTTCAGTTCCCAATATCTTTAAGTTTTGCAATAAGTATAAACAAGGCACAAGGACAGTCTTTAAAGGTTGTTGTGCTAAACCTACGAAGTCCATGTTTTTCACACGGCCAGTTATATGTTGGTTGTTCTAGAGTGGGAAGAAAGGATAATCTTTACATCTTTGCTCCCAATTGGAAAACATTTAATATTGTGTATCCAGAAGCCCTTCAAGAATAGCAATAAATTAACTCACTGTAACACTTTATAAAATGCTTGCTTAAAATCATCCTATGTCTGAAACGAAGCTCAAAGACTTTACTTTACAAATTAAATGGCTACGATGTGACTAATGACACATTTTCTCGGAAGATTACCTAAAGTATCATAACATTTCAAAATTTCAGAAAAAGAATCATTCAAACTATCGAGTAAAAAGCACTTTATAAAATGCTTGCTTAAAATCATCCTATGCCTGAAACGAAGCTGAAAGACTTTGCTTTACAAGTTAAATGGCTGCGATATGACTGTTGACACATTTTCTCAGAAGATTCCTAAAGTATCATAACATTTCAATATTTTAGGAAAAGAATCATTTAAACTATCGAGTAAGAAACTGTTTAAAAAATTTTAATTTTATTGTAGAATTTTTATATTATTTTTTATGTAGTTATGGTGGTGGTTAAGAAGGGGGATATAAATTATGCTTTAACAAATGTTTAATGCACATCTCATGCAATCAGTTTGCTAAAAATTCAAGATGTATATGTTTTTCTGGAGATACATCAGGGCCGTATACAAGGGAGGGTTGGAATCTTAAGAAAGAGAAAAAAGTTAGAACTTACGCGGCCATCGGTCCCAGGTGTGTCTTTTAGGCATTTTTCCGGTACGTTTAAAAGCCAGACGAAGACTGGCCGCATAGCGGCTAGTCGAAGATAAAAATAAAGTGCGTTCAATCTTATAATAATATGTAGAATAATAATTTTAATTTTATGCTTAAAGTTTATTGTAATTATTTTCTCAATAAAATTTATCTTATTATTCACCAAGAAAGACTGTTCTTAAATGAAAATACCATTGACTCGAAATTTAATACACATATTTTGGTTGATTATGACCGGTAGCTAAAAATCTTTGCCGACGCCTGCAATAGATCTATATTTTAAATTTTTAGCGAAGCATTTTTGAATTTAATAATCTTATAACGTCGCACACACAATGTTAAAAAATAATAATGTGATGACTTTTTGCGCCGTGTCGAAAAAGCACTAAGAAGGCATGATTATGTTCAAATGGCTATTTCGAAAAGTGGATATACTTCGTATCAGAAGTAAACGTTCGGTGAATTATAAACGTCTTAACCTTTTTTCTGATTAACGAGGTTTAAACGTGTTTTTTTTCATCTGTATGTTAAAGCGATGATGATTTTAGAAAGTTTCTTCTGGAGTGCGTCGTATCATGACACTACACCCTAAGGGCTGATGTTAACTGTGAGTAAGATGGTTATCAATTATCATAGTCTTTTTTCTTATGTAACTCAATGAAGAAAGTTGTTCATAGACAGGGATAAAATTTGGCTTTTTTTTTTTTTTTTATGGTCGGTGAGTTTAGTCTGTCATCCCCTTACCGTATTTCATGACTGTTTAGAAATGTGTCCATTGCAAGTGGTCACGAAGGACGTGTCATTTTGATTAGAATTTATATGCTGTTTGTGGCAACAGTGTGAATTTATCTTCTGGTTTCCATTCATGTTAATTTGTATCGAGTCAATGTTTGTTATTAAGTTGAGGAAAATATTGTTGTTAGACACTAGCATGCATGAGTTATTTTGTTAAGTTGCATATCTTTCATTTTTTGTGTTCAGATTTAAGCAGTAAATCCGCTTAAATTAACCCTTATGGGCAAAAACATTGCTATAACGATAAATCAAAGTTTTTTCTGTTCGTTCAAGAACAGAACATGACGTTGTACATATGCAAATGAAAAAAAAAATAAATAAATAAATTGAAGAATAGCTTAGGCTTCGCTCTCGCCTCAAATATCTTTATTCTGATCCGAGTTTTCTTTGAATATTAAATATTATGCTGCTACATGGTTATGTATATAAAAAAATAAAACAGGTAAAAGTGCAGAGTTCTCCCTGTTGAAAAGCAAAATAGCAAGAAGTTCAGATGCAGAAATTTTTCAAAATATGCCTTGAAACTAGCAAGATTGTTGATAGTTTCAAGGCATTCCTGTATGGAGAACAAACAGTATTTATAAATCAAATGCAGACTGTAAAAATTAAATAAAATTCATCAGTATACCAATATGCAAAAATGTGCAATGCTAGTTCCGACCTGGGTTCGAATGCAGGCGAACGAGCTGCCTGTGTGGGCGTTTTCGTGATTTTCCCCGTATGTAACGTGTAAAACGAATCGATTTTCCTTAGAAACTTCTCCGCGAAGGCATCCCTTCCCTTAGGCAGAAAGCCCTAGTCTAGCTTTAGATAACTAAAATTAAGAAGCATTAGAAGTTGATATATTGTCATTGAATAGAACAGCATAGCGAGCTAATCAATTAAAGCTTACCTTTCTGAAATCTTTTGTAATGCACACAATTTTTTAATGAAAGGATAAATAATTGAACAAAAGAGCCAGAACGTAATTTTAAGCTATTCGTTACAAAACTTTGTTCCCAATAATTTGTTACGCTTGTTTCCTTCATATTATTAGTTAGAAGCGCAATAAAAGATTTATTTACTTTACATGGTTTCAGAGGAAGGCAATCAACCTTTTAACTGTTTGGAAAGTTTTTCGCCAAAACATATTCTCAATAAAGTTAGGAAAAAAAAACCTGAAAGCAGTACCTTTAGTGCGGGTAGTAATCACCATCCAACTCTATGATTTCCTGCCAACATGTTGTACCTTTTTCCAGATACTCTTTGTAAATAATAGCACGGCAATCCAACCAGATACAAGGCATGATCTTTTTCTTAGTCAAATTGCGCTTTGCAACGCTGCCGAGGGGATCACCGGGCGCAGACCAACCCCCTTTCCGGCCTTTTTTGTTGAAATAAATTCACTTTTCATCGCAAATGACTATCCGGTCCAGAATTTTGTACGTTGATATTCGAGCAGATTAGTGCAGGCCCGAACGCATCTGTCTTTAAGTCAGCTCATGCGGCACCCAGCGATTGAATTTATACGTCAAGTTTAAATCATGCTTAGCGCGACTAATGAACATCGCACTAACGTTTAACTTTTTTTGCAAGGTTTAGAGTGGTTGCATACTGAACTTCTACAAGTTCTCGCAGGCGGGCTTCATCAATATCAGTAGACCGGCCAGAGCGCTGTGCTTCTTGAATGTCATAGTCCTTGTTTTTGAACTTTCGGTACCAAACCTTCATAATATCATATGATACAACATTGGTATCTAAAACTCTACACAGGATTTGGTGACATTCTGCAGCTGACCTATTGCAACAGAACTGGAAATAAATAATGGTTCTAATCTAGTAGCGTGATGGTTCCATTTCAGACACATTGTACATAATGATAAGGAAAAATTTTTTTAACAAATTTCACAACATAGTGTTCTAAAACAAGCTGTTTCTTTCAAATGCCAAAAATCGTTTGAAAAAGTATGATTAACCACCCAACGCGGACTGTTTGAGCAGACGATATTTGCGGTGGCGGGAAACTTTCGTTAAAACCCAATATTTACCTTGCTTAGTGCTTAGTTTTAGTTTATGAATATAAAAACTATTAATAAAGTTGTTGAGAATTTTATATTAATTAGCCAGTTATTTATAATTTGAGCTTTTATTATAACTTATTCTTTACGTATTCTTCACCAGAATGCAAATGAGTAGCCAGTATTTAAACTGAGTTTTTTTTTTTTTTTTTTTTTTTTTTTTTTTTGTTAAGGTTGAGCATATATCTGACATCGCGTACACTCTACATGCCTGCCAGCTCTGATAGTTGTAATTATTCGGCTTTGCGTTTTATCATTGGCGACATTTTAATTCTGACGCATCGGTAGAGTAGTGAGTCAACCTCTGATATAGTAGTTAATTTTAGAGACTTTGACTGCTGTCACCGTTTGATTAAAATTTGATTGTTCTATTTATTTGCATCACTACGAGTTGTGGTTATATTCTAGCATAAGAGTGCCTTTGAGTTCTAAATTCCATTTATATATATATATATATATATATATATATATTAATCTTTTTCGACTTTGCCGTTTTTTCAGGTATAGCGATATTTCGCTTCTCATTTGTTATGTTTATTGAATAATTGTTAGCATTGCCAGGTCAAGTGTAACTCTACGAAGTTTTGATATTTATCAACATTTTTAAAATTTTTTCTTGTTTAATTAATAAAACACTTTAAATGAATGTTTGTTTAGCAACGGTTAAAGGGACGCATGAGGCAAAAAGGTTTGAGAACCACTTCATTTGTTGGTAAGAATTTCACACGAAATACCAGATAAGCATTTTTACGCTTGTGAAAACATATAGTGATTAACTGGGATGACGAAGTAAATTCATAAAATATCTTGTTATTTTCTATACTGTATTTTCTTCAGGACTAATGTGACGGAAATTATACTAAGGTAAGGTTTACCTGTTTTATAGAATGAAACTTAATTCCACCAAGATATTTTCTGAATTTTTTGGGGGGAGGGGGATGGGAGGCTGTATAAGTACCCTTTACAAATTTTAAAATTCGAGAAAAAGTAGTTCATTGAATCAGAATGCTTGGGATTGCTTTTATTATGACTTGTTTATTTTGTGTTTAAGTTTGATAGTTATTGTTTCGTTTGAATTAACTCTGCTTAAACTACAGAAAATGAGCATTTTTGATTTGATTAAAATTAGTCAACTACTGATCAGATTTTATAATTAGTTGACGTAATCTCTAGATGGATAAAACCAAGCATAATTACTTCGTTAATGTATGCAGATATTTTTATATCTGCATACATTAACGAATTAATATTTTTTTTCCTTCTGTATCTATTAGGACCTCTCAACAAGGGAAAAATTCCGCATCTTTAGAGGAGGGAATTGCGTATTATCTTTCTTTCGGAGGCTTATTCTTATTATATCACAATATTTCCGTATTATCTTTCTACATATTATCATTCATTTCATATATCCTGAAGAAGTTGAATGCGTTCAGCCTTTTGTTTAGCTGTTAAGCATTTAGTTTTAGTTTATGAATGTAAAATACTAATTTTATTCAAATTTAGCT